TCCCCAAAACCCATATTGTTCTTCTTTAATTTGGTTGATACCAAATAAAAATTTTAGAATTTATAAAAACCCAGTTGAAAAAATAGAATATTTGGAGGAAGAAAATTGAAGATAGGCTCCATGTTGGGACAAGAGGGAAACAAAAAATGCAGAGGGAGAGAATGAGCAAGAAGAAGATTAGTCAGGTTCATTGTATTCCCTCTGGTGATCAAATTCTCATGACGGCTTCAACTTCAAAACACATTCCTCAAATCAGATTGTACAAAGCCTGGAAGGGTAACAATGTAATAACTTTCTCTTCTTGTTTTGATGCCAAGATTATATGTTTTCTTTGTTTGTTCCACAAGAATGTGAAAAATGATGTTTTGATTTTTGTTGCATCAGAGATTTTTCTGTGGTGGGAGACTAATCTTTGGTCCTGATGTAGCATCTTTGCTTCTTACCTCATTCTTGATTGGAGCTCCCGCGCTTACGTTCTGCATAAGGATGCTGGTGTGGATCAGAAAAGACGATCCTTTCTTCAACTATACCGTTCTTACTTCAGGATGTATCCTCACCATCTTGGTTTGTCTCCTTTTTGATCAATACATATTCTTCTATGTTGTTTTCCTTAAAGCTCATATCTTTGTATGATCCGGATCTGCAGGATTTTACGTTTCTAATGTTGACATCAGCTAGAGATCCAGGAATCATCCCGAGGAATAATAAATCATCGATGAATCTTGAAGAATGTTCAGATAGTTCCTTGTCACAATCTATGGAGTGGGTTAACAACAAAACTCCTAATCTCAAGATTCCAAGAACAAAGGACGTTTTCATTAATGGTTACACTATCAAAGTCAAGTTCTGTGATACTTGCTTGCTCTATCGCCCACCTCGAGCATCTCATTGTTCTATTTGCAACAACTGCGTCCAGCGCTTTGATCACCATTGTCCTTGGGTCGGACAATGCATAGCCCGGGTAAGTTTCTCCTCACAAACCGAAACTACAAGAAAGTTGAAGTCTTTGTATCAAACTCCATAGATTTGTATACTTCTTGATCATATCTATCCGCTCTTTGTTCGGAATGTAACAGATTCTTGGTGTGAAACTTTTGCAGAGAAACTACCCTTTCTTCATCTGCTTCATCACAACTTCAACATTGTTATGCATATATGTCTTCGTGTTCTCGTGGATCAATCTAATCAGACAACCTGGAAAGCTATGGAGGACAATGTCTTATGATATAGTCTCTGTCATTCTTATAGTCTATTCATTCGTTGCTGTCTGGTTCGTCGGCGGCCTTACCATCTTTCACTTCTATCTAATGTCTACAAATCAGGTAAAGTATTTACCATTATGATACGAACATAACTAAATCTTGTTACCTTGAGATCTTTCTTGCGTCGCCTCTGTTTTTGCAGACTACATATGAGAATTTTCGGTACCGCTATGATAAGAAAGAAAATCCTTACAAGAGAGGGATACTGAAGAATGTTAAAGAAGTGTTATTTGCCAAAATCCCGCCTTCACAACTAGATCTCAGAGCAATGGTCCCGGAAGAAGATGACATGACAATAGCATCTAACGGATCTGAGTATCACTCAGAGTATAGCTCCTCTATGAGATATGATACAGAAATGAGAGGTAAGCTCACTAAAAGGGAGAGCCCGAAGAAGCTTCCTTCGCCAGCACGAAAATTAGATATCAATGACATTAGTGATGACTACGACAGACCTAAGACGAGTAGAGAGGATACTTCTGAGCTTGATCCTTCATTCTTCTCATCTCAAGTACCAGACTTGCCCAAGTAATTGCAATGAAGAATCTCTCAATTATGTTTGTATCATCTTTGTCTGGAGCATTCTGATAAACCTTGTATATCAAGATGTTGACTCCTGGTTCCAGAGGCGATATGTTCATTGTCTTACCAAAGATTACTCAACAAAACCGTTTGCAGATGATGTTGTAGATTAGAACACCAAAATGTTTACCATTTAGCTTCATTGGCAAACATTATTATTTCACATAACGAGAAATCACTATTAAAAAAATGTGAAATTCCGACGGCATTTCTGCGAAATTTAGTCGTTGAAAATTTTCCGACGTCTTTTTGACAAATTACCAATAAGCTAGAAACTATAGGAAATCCGTCGGAAATTTTCGACAAATTACCAATCACCTAAAATACCTAAAATCAGTCGCAATTTATGACGGATTTTCAACAGATATCTGACATAGGCTGACCAATAATAAAACCATTGGAAATCTGCCAACATAAAATCCTACGAAAGTTCTGTCAGAAATATGTCGATTAGTTTAGTATAAAACAACGATCAGCCATTCTCTTCCAATCATTCTTCTGCAAAAAAAAATATAAAAAGAGTGAAATATGGCTTTTTCTTCTTCAAATCCGTTTAGTTATTTTCGTTCATGGATGGACATGCCGATGCGAGATCAAACGAACGGATTGGTAACGGACCAGTACGAGGCTGGGATTAAAGAATTTATGGAATTTTTTGGACGTAATCCACAAGTCATGCAAAATGGTAAATATCTTTGTCCTTGTATACGGTTTGTATGAATCGTAGGAGATGAACGTATAGAGGTGTATATGGGCATTTGTATAATCATGGATTAATGTCGGGTTACAAAATTTGGCATTCACATGGAGATATAGAAGAAATGTTAGACTATGGACGTTGTTAATGCAAAATTTAACCAGATCAAAAGGACAACAGTTCTACGGAATGACGGGAAGTCATTAGCTGATCAATGAGTTTCGATAAAAATTACAAATAATCAATAAGAAAATCGCGAGGAGATGATCTTGTCGATCGTTTGTCGGTTGTCGTAAGCATAGACAGATTTCTTGTCTCTCATCGTTGAGCGTCGTTGTGCACTACGTGAGGTCACGTCGCTCATCGTTGAGCACTGCGGCATTTTATGTCGCTCGTCATCGAGCACTGCGGTATTTTATGTCGCCCATCGTTGAACATTGGTCGAGTTCTTGTCGCTCGTCGTTGTGCTCTACGTGAGGTCACGTCGCTCGTCGTTGAGCACTGCGGCAGTTATCTATTTAAGGTTTTGCGTATGTGTCAGTGATGTGTTGTCATGATGTCGTCCTTATGCTATGACTCTTGTATTTATAGATTTCATAAACCCTAGTCTTTGTTGGACCGGGACTGTCTGTCGTCGGTCCATAATAGGACGTCATGTCGGTCCTTAGTCATATTTCCTTTAGAAATATGTTAAGTCGGTTGACATGCTAAACCGTTGATTGTTAATAAATTAGTGTTGAGACCGTCTGGTCGGTGGTTAACACACAAACCGAACTTCGTTGCCGGCTAAGACTGTTTGTCAATGTCTACTAGTTCTGTCGACTGCAGTGACATGGTCAGTGACTGTCAAAAGCTCCTTTTAGCAAAAAAATAGCAGCAACTAGCTGGAGCAGGTCCATGAGGTGTTTAACCTCCCTCTTATAAACCGTATTCTAGTAGTGACCATGTGATGAATTTATTACACCCAACAGTCGTTCTAATCCAGTTTATCATCAGTCAACAACAGATCACTCATTCATGCTTTACAAAAAACCCATCATTTTAGATTCAAGGAGAGTTGAGACACCAAGAGATAGCAACATATCCCTCTTACAAGTAAAAAAGAAACAACGTTTCAGGTTCAACGAGCGTTGAGACACTTGAGTGAGATAGCATCATCATAGTCAGTGACATCCTCCTCCTTTTGCTTCTAACCTGTTCAAAAGTTCATAACCTAATGAGATCTCATGGAAGCTACATGTGATCTCATACTAATCAACTATCAATTAATTGTTAAATTACGAGAGCTAACCTGTAGCCCTCCACATCAAACTCTACTTCAAAGCTAGAAAAAAATCCCACAATTATATCGTTTACAAACAGAGCAATAAGAATTAAGGAAATGCTACTGTTTCAAAGACATACCTCCAATCGAATAATCTTGAGAAACAACGAGGGATTGTTGCCACCTCGGCTGGACTCCCCACGAGTTCTGAATTGTCCAGTAATTGACACCTTCGGGAGTTGTGCCATAACCAGTTACAATCACCACATGACTACCAAGTGATTTGTCTTTTTGATTTGATCGACCCTCATAGATTCCCTGTCATGATCAAATCTAAACTCGTAAGGGATCAATCGTATCTTGCTTGTTAAATAGATTGATTATAAGGGCTATAGAAACTTCTTACATCTTTTTAGTTTTTGAAGCTTGTGTACGCTTCAACCACAGCTAGTACCGGACTTTTTTGGAGAAGCTCGATCACATCCGTTTCAGTAAATTGTTTTCCATTAAGATAGACTAACTTCTTGATTTTGAATCCAGGCTCATGCTACAAAATTAGTTAATAAATATTTCATTAGAAACAATATAATAAGAAACAGATTTTTGAAGAATATATACTTACACTGTTTACGCAGCTTTTGGGACATTTTTGGTATGTTTTCCTCAAGTATGGACACTATGTCTCTTCAACAAGACCATGTTCGGTCAAAAATTTTGTCACTTCATTATATTTCATCAACTTTCCTGTATTTTTCTCGAAATGTGTAATATTATTGATTAGATGCTGGGGTGAGAGCTTGACCGCTCGTTTCCTCTCAATTAAGAGCAATATTTCCATCAAACATATGCCTATCATCATCAATTTATAAATTTGTATTACTCATTAATCCCTTTTTCATCAATTACAATTATAAAAACTTACTCAAGCATCCTTGATCAATGGCATCTCTAAGCATATCGTTCTAGTTCTTCATATATATGCTGCAGCCTTTCGGAAGATCCTAAATACAATCAAAAATATATTATTAGTATTTGTGTTTAATTAAAACCGACTGATGCTCACTTGTGTATAAAATACAAGCTAAAATCAAATGTACCTTTGGCCACTCTGGATCACTTTCAGTAAGTCTCTGGAAAAAATAGCTAAAGCAATTAGTAAAACTGCATTTGCTTCAGATTACAATATGATCATATAAATTATGCAGTACCTTAGTAGATGTTGAGGCAGTTGACTTGGACTGTTTGGAAGACGAAGCAGAGCACTTTTCTTTCCCCTTTCTGCCACAAGCTGCAACACCGACTGAATCTTCATCCGAACTGCTTGTTTGTTCTTGTGAAGTATGGTCAGCCTCCATTTCGGTCTACACAAAGAGATAAAGAACACAAAGCGAATGTGTAAGAGAAGGCAAGCAATAGATTCTTCATTCTTCTCATGACAACTAGAATTGGCCAAGTAATCTCTCAATGTTGTATATCTTTCTTAGGAATTAACAATCCTATTAAAACTGTATAGCAAGATTAGAAACGTCTGGTTTCAAGGGTGGATGTTCATCCAAAGTGCTTGTTGTATAAATCAAACAAGTAAGGGACACTGTATATTAAAACAATCAGACACTAAAAACTGAGAATTGGGTCTACAAAATCCCTAGTATCAGCTTCTGTGCTAACTAACACACCCCAAGACCCATAACTTGGGATTTTTCACATGTACATTCTTCAAATTTATTCATGGATTTCGATAACAATACCCATGTTAAAGCTCAAAAGGATGAGAAGAGAGCAATAAGAATATTTAAGTCTTAATTTATTCCACTGCAGTTGAAACGAAAACGACATTCATTTTTTTAATTTTTTAAAGAAATTTAGGTTTATATAATTTCATTATTATCCAAGTTTTCCATTGCACAACATTTTGGTGGACAATTTCGTCTAGTATCATTAGGGCTTTTTTGCATCTAGTATCATTAGGGCTTTTTTTGCATCTTATCTTATTTATTTAATTCCATAGCTACTCCATTCCAAAACATCCCCTTAATTATATCATATATCAAAGTAAATAATTACAATTTTTTGTTCTTGTCTTATATGGATCCAACTTTCCAAATCTGCAGGCAAGGTCATTTTCGGGTTTTCCATGATAAATAACAAACCTTGGGGACGACGGACACGAAGAAAATTGACCGCAAACATTCCTTTTGCGTATCTCCAGTGGGACCCATTTGTGACCCTCTTTGACTTTATTGAGGCTGAGTCACATTGTTTTGAATTTCTTAAATTGTTCCTACTTAAAAAGTTTATGATTCTATATGTTTGGTTATATGCAAATTTGCGTTTTTTTTCCAACATGATTCCACATGTTTTTTACTGATCACAAAATGTTGTAGACTGATGGTGGACTAATCATGTGAATAAAAGTCTGCTGTTTGGATCAAAAATACAGAAATTTTTTTTTTTTACGTTAAAAATATATATTAGTTGTATCACTATAACTTTTTTTGGCCTTCCTACTAACGGAAAAGTTTTTAAATTTCTTTTTATCACAATCACATGATTCACAACTATATATAACATACTTTTTTTTCTTAGCAACATATATCAGTAAATACAATTTATTATTAAGTAACAAAATTGATTGTATTTTTAACGGTTCAAAGTTAATAATATGTTTACTAACTA